TCTTGTAATTTCTTCTTTTTTTGAGTATGAAAGGTATTTTACTCACATACCTATTAAGTAAAAAAAAAATTCTAATAAAATATTTTCAAAATTAGATTGTTTAAAACAACACAACTATTTTGTTAAGCTTTAGAAAATTTCAATTGAGGAACACTATCTCGCTTCACAGTTTTTATTTTTAAAGTAACGCCACTTTCATNGAGCAAGAAAAATTTATCTTCGGTACTTCGCTAAATAAGTTTTTTGATATTTATCTCTCTAAAGAGTCTTAAATTGGTAACAATTAACTATTTAAACTAGACTAAATTTCATTTGGCTTTCAAAAAATCAGAAACACCTCATAGGTGCAACGCGATTAACCATGTCGGAAACAAGTGCGCGACTAACGGAAGGTTAAGGGTTTTAAATAATGTAAGCGGTAATTACAGACAGATTCTGAATTGTCTGATAAAAATTTTGATTTGGAACAGAAGGCGTTACCTTAAATATTAAAATTTGTTCTGAAATAACAGTACATTACTGACGAGGCGGGATTTATTAAAAACTTATTTTATTAATACCATGTGTTTTATTTAAATAACACTAAATATGCCATATTGTATGTTCTAGTTCTTTGGTTTCCAGACATCTAGATACCTGAAATAGTTTTCTAATTTTAAAGAATGTGAATTCAATAAATTGTTTTTCACTGCACGCTTGAATTTTACAATGAAACAAGTTTAAGACTTTATTTAGTAAATTTTAATAATAGCAGACAAAATTGAGATATGAGCAAAAATTTTATAAATTAGATATAAATTTTATTGGATCATTTGTTTTAAGGTTTGGCCTAAACTTTTATGTATTTATGTAAAAGTGCATTTTAATCGTAGACTATATTTTGAAACTAGCACATTCACTTCAACAGATTCTCAAATATTGAGATAACAATCACGCATCCGAAAATTGGTGAAGACTTAACGAATATTTAATTAGGAAAATACCAAAATAAAATTTGATATTAAGTTCTATTGATCTAAATATGGTTTGTATGAGAATCGAACGCTAAGCGTTTTAGTTTAATTCCCGGAACTTAATTTTGATTTCAAATTATAAACTGACACTCTCAAAAAAAAAATCATTTTCAATACTACATCTTTACATTTTAGCTGGTGTACCGGACAACAGTTTGAAGCAAAAACACCGCCGGCTAAAAGTTGAAACCATTTGATCAACTGCAGCAAGCAAACTAATTAACTGAATAACTAAATTAAACTGTGTTACCTGGCCAAAGAAAAGAACAGAAGGGGTCAAAAGACACTAAGTAGTATGGGAGTTGTGAAATATAAAATCTGAGAGACCTAAAAACCTAACTTGATTGCAAAAGACATTNAGCAAATCGAGGCATATCTATTTAAGGAATTTCGTTATACAAAATAGACTCTGCTGAGAAATAAGATTAAAAACGAAACTAGTTTTGCATAAACCCACAAGTCTATTTATAAAAATATATCGAACGTATTTAATTAGAAATATAATTTCAGTTTATCTTAAAGAATTACCTGAAGAAGTTGAAATATTTGTTCCTACCAAATTTCTTCCTCAATTCATATTAGGTGAGAAAACATCAGATTTTAACTAGATAATTATTCAAAAAATTTCCGCTCTACCAAAATCTAGCAGTTTTTTCCCCAAGAGTTACGAAATGCGAAAGTTTTTTTGCCGAAATGTATACTTCTGAACAATAACTTTATTGTTTAGTTTTTTATTTTTAAATTTTTTTTAACAGTTTCGTTCTTAGACTTCTATTTGATATAGAGTACATTAATTTTTTTAATAGAATACGTATAATTGTTATTGCCCATATATACTACATAAATGCTTGACAAATTATTAATTTCTTTGTTTAGAGGAATTTATATTTATAAATACGTACATAAAAATACGACGACAGACTAAATTGTGAAGTATTAACATGTCAAATATACAGCATTTAATGTTTATTAAAGTTCACTATAAGGCGAAAAGAAACGTTAAAATGTAGTGCTATGACACGTGATAGCTAGCCGTGAGCTTTAAGGGTTTTAAATAATGTAAGCGGTAATTACACAAACAGATTCTGAATTGTCCGATAAATTTTTTTTATTTGGAACAGAATGTGTTACAAACGAGCATATTGGTAATAAACTTATTGCCTGAATATCTTTAGAACGAAACTAAGTCTTTGGATGAAGGCCTTGAAGAAAATTTCAGGGATAAAAGTATCCATCTTAGCATTAATAATTAGACTAAACCCACAAGACTACAATTTACAAATGACACAGTTCGGAGACTTTCGGTCGTTGTAGTGGAACTGGGCGTTCGGCCCTTACAGTTCGGAGACAGGAAGAGCTCATTCGATACTGTTGATGATGATGTGGGGGGGGGATCTCTGCTACTCGCTTTTATCCCCCTTGCTGTAAGGTGTATTTTTGTGAGTTGAGTTGTTGATGCTAAAGATGATGACGATGAGGTGATGAGAGTGCACGCTGTTCTTGATTGCTGTTGTTGTTGTTGTTGTTGTTAATGTTGTTACTTTACGTCGCACTAGAGCTGCACAATGGGCTATTGGCGACNGGTCACCTCTGCAATGGATCAAAAATTGCAATGTTATATGTTTGGATCATCTGCCGACTAGTTAGCGTGCCTGACTGCGGAGCCGATAGTTGAGAATTTGAATCCCGCTCAGGGCATGGATGTTTCTTTGTGTTTTATGTCCTTCCCGCCCTATAAACGGGTTTGTAGCTATATGACGTGGGCGACGCTACTCCAACGCCGTGGCTTAGCCATAGGTGCTCACAGGGTAACGATAAGAGAGTAGCAATTCTGGCATTTCTGAGGCCATTGGGAAATAGATCCAAGTGCCAGCCATTGACTAAAAAAAGTGTGTGTTGGATCATCCTCAGGGATGTTTCCCAGACCGTGCCCCATTGTGCAGCTCTAGAGCGACGTAAATAAAAAACCCCAAAAAAAGTACTTGGAGATATTGTTGTAGTTCATTTACGTCGCACTAGAGCTGCACAATGGGCTATTGGCGACGGTCTGGGAAACATCCCTGAGGATGATCCGAAGACATGCCTTCACAATTTTGATCCTCTGCAGAGGGGATGGCATCCCCGAATCGGTAGCCCGACGACCTGCAAGCAAAGTCGAGCACTTTACGGTAGAACAGTTTAACGAGGAAGCATACCGCACACCCTCGGTCCCTGCGCAGTCTGATCTAAGTGGTCACCCACCCGCACACTGACCGCAGCCAGTGATGCTTGACTTCGGTAACCTGCTGGGAACCGTGTCTTAACGATCAGTCCACTATTTGGAGGTATAAATGAGAAAGAAAGTCACCGATTTTATTACTTTATTGAAATTACATATATTTGCAGGCTTGTTTTCTTAATTTAGGCTTCTAAACCAATGTCAAGTAGGGCAGATAGAACAATTTAGATAAGGACATCACAAAGAATACATCCAGGGTTATGGCGGGATTCGGACCCGCCACCTCCACGCTTCACACTGCTTTCGGCGGGCAATACCGCTCGGCCAGGGAGGCCCCGAAAGTCACCGATTCCGCCTTCGAAACCGCTCACACTCATTGTGTTTATTAGCTCTAGTGCGACGTAAATGAACAACAACAACAACTCATTGTGTTTAGCGCTTACAATTGAACAGCGTGTAAGGGATCCATAGAGGTAAATTCCACTTCAAATTTAAAATCCCCGAGTCTAACGGTGCAGTCGAAAGTTTAAATTACTAAAAATTTTAAAATCACCACGAAAGTAAGTGAAACAGCTTTCATGTATGCATGGGGAATATTGCATTCGAAAGGTAATTAGAGTTGAAATTATTTGGCGAATGACATTGGGCCGAATTCATTAGCCTCCCAATAGTTATAAGCAGATTAAATCAGTAGACGTTAAAATCCTACCCCCCCCCACTAAGAAACTAAAAAGGTGAAATAAGTTTTAAACGTAAGGAACAATGTTAACACAATTAACTTCTAACGAGTTAAAAAATTAATACATTTGAAAAACTTACCTAGCTTATTTAAAATGATGCTTACCTCAACGATGCTTACACACTGTCCAGTCCACACCCCTCTCTCTTCCCCTTGGTAACATATACGAGAAACCCCAAAACATTCTTAACTAATTAGAGGAAGCCAAGTTTTCATAAAAATGAAATTCCCTTAAGGTATGAGACTAGTTTCAACATATTTTTACAAAGGCTAAATTTAATTTGTTAGCAAGAATCCGAAAATTAAAAAGTATATTTCAAAACAAATTAGTTCAAAAACCAAATTTTCCTTGCCATACTAAATCCTCGACAACAAATTATAATTCATAAAATTCAATATAATTTCTCTAGATTAGTGTAATTACGCGTGTTTTGAACTGAAATCTTTAAAAAAATATTTAGGAATATTGAATCTTCAAGAAAAATTTTAAATACACTAAGAAATTCACTCAAACCCTAGCTTTTAGTGAAAATAATTGACAACATACAAATCTACAAATAATCTCAAATTCTATAATAAACTGATAAAAAATCTTAATATAGACGCTTAGAAAATGAGTATTTTAACGTTCATGAAATTCATTTTCGTCCTCTGAATAAATCTAAAATATAATTTAATGAAATGGAAAGGTTAAAATACTCTAAACGTTACAAATAAAGTTTCGTTTTTAAGAATCTACTTCCGACTCCATTTGTCAGCACACGAAAAAACTACTACAACTTAATTCTAAGAATCTGACAAAAAGTATAGCTCTTTGCTCCAAAAATAAATGATAACTCAGCCTGTCTAATTCAGGGGCTCTAGTCTAGAACATACCGATTCACACTTATGCTGCAGATCGATGTCCCCAAATTGCGTAGACCTACTATATCATCAACTATAAGCCGCGCCTACTAGGCTGCACTTCATTCAGCTGTCTTATAATCGATGTCTTAATATTTACGTGCTATCAGGTTTAAATTTGGTTCTCTGCAATTATAAAAATTATACAGTTGCAATTTCGATATAGTATCTCAAGATTTATTTTGGTGTATCAAATTTTTTATGGCACTCTTCTAACAATGGCGTTACCATGTTTGTTTGCCTTGAGTTAAGTGGTACTATTTTTTAAAGTTTAATACCTAAAAGTAGATGAGAATTTCATATAAATTTTACTTTTTAGAAAGTTAGACTTGAAAACAGTTCAGATTCCGAAAGTTAATTTAACATTTTGTATAATATAATCCTGGTGTTCTAATATTATTGAATTTTAAATTGGTGTAAAAATTTCTAGCCTTATAACAATGTTTAGCTTAGGTTAAAACGTAAATGAATAAAAATTTTGAGGTGAAATTTTAGGAATTTGCAAATCTGCATTTCATATAATACACACGTTTTAACTCTTTAGACAAGCTTATTGCTATCTGTGTCATTTATTCTTATAGAAGTATTAAACGCATAATCAACATACCACGAGAATAAGAAAATTTTTCAAAATTTTACTGTAAAAAGGATTTAAAAATGAATAGATTTAGAAAATTAGTTTATACTTTACCTCGTGGATTTTTTCTTCCAATTGTCGATTCATGTCTATAGCGGAAACTTTATTTCTCTGACGAAGAACCTATATTTTTAGTATTCTATCGCACAGTAATTAGTTTTTTTTTATCAAATCGATTTATTTGCAATAACTAGCTTAGTTTAAAAAATATGCGTTCGAGAGATTTTGAAATAATAACTTGATTCATTACATATTCACTTTACACTGCATCAAAAACAGATTTTTGAAATCTTTAACATTTAAAAATTCTACTAAATACGTTGGTTATAATGTTTAAGACACGTAGGTAAATACACATATACAAAATATCTTTTGTATTTTATTAGAAACATATACACGTTGAAAGATTTATTTTATTTCTTAACATATTTTAACATAGTTAATTTTTAAATTCGGATAAGTTGGATAAATCTCTTGGCACATTCTTTCACATTTTCGAACAGATTTAGACTTTTGATGTGATATTAAAATGTTCAAATTTTGTTGTCTAACTTATTTTAAATTTGTCATAAAGTAAATTCTAAAATTTGATTTGGATCTCGAAGGACGTCATGAATTATGTACCTATTTTCGAAATTATGAAAACTATTTTTTTTTATCAGATTAAGGGATATCTGTTCCGCAATGATTGTTAATTTATTTTTCAATTAAGCTCCACCATGCTTACTTCGAAAACTATTTTTCCAATCAATACGCACTTTCCCAATTTTAGAGTAGCTTAAGTCAATTCTCCATTGGATATGTACTCAACTAGGCCAGTCAGGCTCAGGAATTTAACATTTGGAGCCCTGTATCCACTAAGAAAATTTCATAGCTTGTGATAACTCTGCGTAAGAATTAAAATTTCGGGAAAAATTTCAGCCATAAGTCTTTTTACAAACGTTTCTATGTTTGATCAAACCTTACAACCAACCTTAAATTGCGCACAAGTCTCCAAATCACTTAATACTTCACTTGTAATTGCAAAGTATTGCCTAATACTTGCTTTTATAATCGCGAGAATTAATATACCCTATGATTAGCTGGACTGCATTAAAGAAATTTAGGATTTTCTATCAGCATTTATGACAAAAAATAAGCCGTATATACATAGTGGTTGTCATAGCGAGAATTAAAATTAGACTGTAATTTGCTAAAATGAGTATTCTCCGTAACTAACCCGAAGTTTACCAATTTACATCGTTAGTTCAGCAGCGGTAGTAACCGAACAGTAAAAGTCAGAAATTAAATGGGCAGAGGCTTAATACGCAATATAAGAATATTTTCTTACAGCAATGCGTACAAGTGACCCGAGAAGTTCCGAAACGGCAGAACGAATGTGAAACAAAAAGCAGAAAGGCACTCTACCACCTCCTCGCAGGGTTTCATACTTGACCGGACGTTACGGAACCATTCGCTTCAATTATACCCACTTTCTGTGGGTTTGTTTAATAGGAGAGACCTACAAAAACAAAGCTGGCAAGTTTAATTTTTAAAAGTTTTTGTATTTTTTTAATTTCAGTCTCCTTTAGAATAACTGGTACAGGCATTTCAATCTTAGTAAAATTCACTAGTTATTGTAGAATGTCTACAGATTTAATTTGTTTTTAGTTTAAAAAGTACTATTTTTACTCAATTTAAAATAGATACACGTTTTTAAAAATGTTCAAATTTTGTTGTCTAACTTTTTTTAAATTTGTCATAAAGTAAATTCTAAAATTTGATTTGGATCTCGAAGGACGTTATGAATTATGTACCTATTTTCGAAATTATGAAAACTATTTTTTTTTATCAGATTAAGGGATTCTGTTCTGTAATGATTGTTAATTTATTTTTCAACTAAGCTCCACCATGCTTACTTCGAAAACTATTTTTTCCAATCAATACCCACTTTCGCAATTTTAGAGTAGCTTAAGTCAATTCTCTATTGGATATGTACTATTTTTTTTATGAAATTCCTCATTGCTTAATGCCTAGCAGCTATCGTGCATTATCCTTTAATAGCTATACAANATAGCTATAAAAGTTTAAAAAGATTCGAGTACTTTCCACCATGTTTAAAACATGGGCGAACAACGATTTATGCTGCGGATGGACGACTCCACATGTAAAACGTCGCTAACCTATAATTTTGAGTCCTATTTAGTCGAAACGAATTTATAATGAAACGAGTTTCAAATACGGGTTGACATTAAAAACAATATTGCTTTTATAATCGAGAGAATTAATATCCCCTATGATTAGCTGGACTGCAATAAAGAAACTTGGGATTTTCTATCAACATTTTCACGACAAAAATAAGCCGTATATGGATAGTGTTACAGAACAATGTCCCAATATTGCGCAGAAAATTTAACGAATCTCAATTTCAGCAACGGCACCCGAGTTAAACAGACTAGTGCCTGCCTTAGCGTTTTGAGAACTAAACTTCACAAAAATTCCAACGCTTATATTTGCTTTAATGTCCGATTCGAAATTACTCTTCGCATCAAACTAAAATTTATTGTTTTATAAATTAATGCACTAAATGTATCGATATTTTATCACATACCAGCTAATATTAATTCTGTATTGCAATGTTCTGCCAACTCGTTAAACTATAAATAAAGTTTTCTACGTAACTTCGTATAGACCTAAAATATCACTCAACTAGGCGAGTCAGGCTCAGGAATTTAACATTTGGAGCCCTATATCCACTAAGCGAATTTCATAGCTTGTGATAACTCTGCGTAAGAATTAAAATTTCGGGAAAAATTTCAGCCATAAGTCTTTTTACAAACGTTTCTATGTTTGATCAAACCTTACAACCAACCATNAGAAGTGGACTAACAGAAAAACATTTAGTCCTTAAAATAAGCACATCTCACTTCGAACCTTAATATAAGGAACTTTTAAAAATGAAATTGCAATTTCATTCATCGCACTAAATATTTAAATTAAAACTTGTATATCGCTTTTTTTAAAATTTTGAAAGTTTTAATTGGCCCACCAAAAAATTTTTTTCTCGATTTTTGGCCCTCTACCAAAAAAGTTTGTCCATCCCTGTATTACATGACTGCAAAGTTCGGAAAGCCTCCACACTATTGAAGAACTTATTTTACTAGATGTAAGTGAGGTAATACTCACCGGGTTGCACAAACCCGCTTTTAACATTGTAAAAATAATTCCACGGAGTAATAATAATGTACAAAGAAAGATTGATAATATATCTCAGTGCGTAGAAAATTCTTTACGCGAGTACTTAAAAATATCTGAATTTCTATACAGTTTGACGAATCTACTTATCCAGGAAACGAAGCTCTTACTTTTAGCTTATGTAAGATTTGTAAAAGAATGAAAATTTTACCAAGAATTGTTACTTGCTGAATGTTTGGAAAGCTATACGAAAGGTGAAACGCTATTGATTGAATTAAAAGATATACCCTTGACTAATATCATTTCTGCAGCTACTGCCGGTGATCCGGCAATGGTACGAAGATACCAAGGTTTTCTGGTTAACTTAAAACAAGCTGCAGCGAATGTATTTTCAGTACATTTGCCAAAATTAGCGAAAGTAATTTGAAACTACAAGATGAATAATTAAATTGAATCAAAACTAAAATCGTAAAACTGCGCTTGTTGCAAAACTTTTTCTGTATAAACAAAACTTGGGATGAGAATATTGTTCTCTTAGTTTCAGTGC